ATTTTGCTAAATGTGCAAAAAAAAGTTATTTTGGTCTCTGTATTTTAAGACAGTGCACCTTAACATTTGAATTAGGAAACAAGCACTGCCTGTAAATCCACCAACAATACATCATGTTTTTCATTCTGTGAAATCACTTTCCAACAGATAAACCTCAGCCTGTCCTCACTGTGTCTCCATTATGGCTGAGTCCTGGAGCCTCAGTAACTCTGAACTGCAGTGTTGAACATCCATCTGCAGGATGGAGGTTCTTCTGGTATAAGGCTGTTCCCAGACTGTCAGACAACTCCTACAGCTATGAGCTGATACCTGGCAGCATCCATGGGACTGAACAGGATTCCTACATTGTTGATGGACAGACACACACAGCAGGATATGTGTGCAGAGCTGGAAGAGGAGATCCAGTGTATTATACTCAATACAGTGAACCCAAGTTTGTCTGGTCTGGAGGTAGGTTTAGTTTGAGTTTTTTTATACTGACACAATAGTAGACATGCACTTGTTATGCTTGTTTCCTTCTTTCTGCCCCCCAAACCCTTCAATGCAGGGCTTTTAGGTGTAATGGGTTATTTGTCTGTTTTTGTGTTGCTGCTTTTATGTAATGGTTCCCTGTGGTACTTACATTTTATTATACACCTGTATTGGTGTGATCCTTTGTCTTTAAACTCCAGCATTTAAACACATTAAAACACAGTTAAACCAAATGAATGTTGACAGTATGGCCTTTTTTTCATTCTTTGTTTGTCTGCTTTTTATGTGTTTTTAGATTCTCATTCAGCAGCGTCTCTCACAGTGAGTCCTGACAGAATGCAACACTTCAGCAGAGAGCCTGTGTCACTGAGCTGTGAGGGAAACTCTGCTGAGTGGAGAGTGAGCAGGTTTTCTAAATTTGGCCGCACGACACACTGTTCTTCTTCTTCTTCTTCTTCTTCTTCTTCTTCTTCTTCTTCTTCCTGGGGGAACATGACTGGATCCAGATGCAACATGGACCGTGACTGGCAGAGTGGAGTCTTCTGGTGTGAGTCTGAAACAGGACAGTTCAGCAATGCAGTCAACATCACTATACAGTGTGAGTCTTAATTCATTTAAAAGATTTTGTTTCTGAAGTATTTTAACATTCTGTTACATAGTTTTGAAAATCTGAAGGTGACTAACATTATACAAACTGATTTTCAAAATGAGTGAAACTTGATGACCTTTAAAAGAGCTCATCAGCTTTGGTTCATTCTAGTATCATTTTTTAATATTTTCCCAAATATTGTCAGATGGATTTTATTGCTCACTCACACCTTTATGACAATAATCATCTAACATTAATTTTATACTTGAAGTACCAGAGTTTTGAGGCTCTACCAGTCTGTAGCACACTGCCACAAAATCCACATTGGCTGCCAACAAATACCAATAATAATGAACGTTAATGTTTGAATACATTAAAATGTTATTATAGCTGTAATTTTAACCATGTACATCACCATAGTGCCATATTTTCCAGTCTGATGAAGGTTGGCTGCTCGGTTAAATTGGTATTTTTTGAATGTAATTTCCAAAACAGTCAAAATTTTTGCTAAAAAGTCACATCCCCAGTCACCAGCAGCTGAAATGAAAGGACTGGTTTAAAGGTCCAGCATTTGATGACAGAAAGATACATTTACAGTAAGAAAGGGATTTCTCAGTTACTGTATGCAGCTGTAAAATTAATTCAAACATTTATTTTCATAATGTTACATCAGCTTGTTTAAGCTGCACCAGCTGATCTCTGCGACCAAATCTTTGTATTCTTTAATCTTTTTCAGACGGTGATATTATCCTGGTGAGCCCTGTCCATCCTGTTACTGAGGGAGATTCTGTCACTCTTGGCTGCAAATTCAGGACAGAACACGTTCACTATATTGTGGATTTCTATAAAAATGACGGACACATCGCAAATGTTACTGGAAGGGAGCTGACTATCTCTGCAGTGTCAAAGTCAGATGAAGGCTTTTATAAATGTAAAGGAAAAAATTCACCACAAGGTCAGCAGAGTTTGACGTCACCAGAGAGTTGGATGTCAGTAAAATGTGAGTATGATTCAAACAGTTTCTTCAGCATTTTTTTGTAAGCTGTGTTACGGTCCAAGATAGAAAGATTATATCTGAATTAGTCTGACTTTGTTTAGCTTTTTCAAAAACAGTTTAAACTGAAGTAACCCTTCAGACATGGTACCTAGACCCTAGGTCTGTTAAGTGTTTCCACTGCAAACAGTACCCTTAAATGTGGGTGAGTTTGTTGTCACTCGCTGCTCTGTCCAGCACTCACTGTAAATGGAACAACACCTGCACCTCATTTATTGTCCACAGAACAAGGTTGCACTGCGACATTTTCGGAGCAAAACAGAGCAGACTGCAGTGAGAGTCTCTCTCCATGGGATATTTAAAAATAGCGGGGTTGTGCCTTTAGTCCTTCTCAGGCAAGCTCAGGGGTTTAGTGTTGCTGGAGCCCACAGGAACGACGCTCCACAATGCTTTTTTTCTCTAAGTGAGGATTAGAATATACACAGTTCACACAATGTGGTCGAATTTAATATATGTATTTTTAAATGTTTGAAGATCCACTCATTACTTAAAATGTATGTCATCCAAGAGAGACTGAAAAAACTGAAGTGATGGTAAAAGTTGTCACAGTGCAGTTTAAGCTGTGTTGATTGATTCACGTCGTCAACTTATGCATTGAGCAACATTTCAAGAAAATGTTCCACCTTTAGTAGCTGCTGGCAGTCGGCCCAATAAATTGAGTTTTTTTGTGCTGCAAGAGACAGCAACATCCTTTATGTTTATGGTTGTATTTTATAAATGTAAAACTTGACACGGTATGAAGAGTGGTTACAAAACCAGCCACAACTCAGCTCTGAGCAGAGTGACCGTCCTCTATTGGCCAATCAACGAACTGCAGTGTTCACAGCTCCACCTTTTAGTAACAGATCTGTGTGCTAGGTACCCCAACAGAGGGGGGACCAAAAATGGGGACGGTACAGAACGGTTCCATTGGTACCATCCACAACTTTTCACAGTGGAAACAGAAATAAAGCGTACTGAACTGAACTGAACTGTTCTGTGGAAACGGGGCGTAAATGTGCATGGCATGTGATCAGGGGTTTATAAAAGTGTATTTTTGTGTATGTGGTTTTCTACTTGTGCATTTATTTATGCATAAATGTATTTTTGTATACATGCTTAGATTATGTTTGCATGTTAGTGTCTATGCATGCAACATATTCTCATATAACTGTTCGTATGGTTCCTACGAATTAGCGCCCCACAAATGAGGTTGCGTCCTTAACGCACAGTTATGTAATTAACATAAAGTTACAGGGGTTAGGTTTAGGAAGAAAACATGGTATGGACGTACCCTAAAATGCCTTAAAGTTCACACGGTTCCAAACATGTGACACCAGGGGAAAATAACAGGCAAATGTCTGTTTTTTTGTGACCCCTCCACCACTCCAATCTGCCTCCTTACAAGCATGCTCGGGACTGCCTCCTTGTTAACCGCCGCCAGTCACGTTATTGCAGAATTTTCAAAAAATGGTGGGATATGAACGAATTTGAGTGCATTACTTTTCGTAGGAAAATGTACAAACAGTTTGTGAGAACAGTTTGATGTATGTTCTTATACATTTTTGGATGTTAGTCATTGTTTTCTTACTGTTGGAGTTTTATTACTTCGGCTTGACTGGACCTTGACTCTGTGTTTATGTAAAGCACTTTGGGAAATCTATTTGTGAAAAGTGTTAAATGAGTAAATATTTATATAGGTTATTTATTATAGCAGCGCCCAGGCTTGAAGGAAGCTCTCCATTTCCTGTGCTGTTGATTGTTGGGCCGGTTTGTGGAGTTTTACTGATTCTTCTCCTGCTGCTGTTTCTGTATCTCTACAGAAAGTCAAAAGGTGAGAACTTTTACTTCTGATGTTAGACTGACTCTGATGTGATTACATGTACTGTAGTAACAGTCGAACAATTCACCATACAAAACAATGTAACAACAGATGTCTTTTTCCTCCACAGATTCATGCTTTATGAGGTCGGTCCAACACTCTCTTCTCTCATTCTGAATATGACAGTAGCACAGTGCATACGCTTTTTAAAGTCACTGTATTTACTTCATGTTTTGGGCCCACCAGGTCTCAGAGCAGCAGTCGGGGCCCTGCTACAGACCACATGATCAACCAGGATGAAACTCAGCTCAAAGAATATGCTCCTCCTCTCCATGGTCAGCCTTCATGCTGATTAATTTTATGATTTATCATCAACTCTAAGACTAGTATTTCACATGTGATTATCTGTTTTGGTAGTGATGGCCAAATGAAGCCTCATGAACCAATTTCTTTATTTTCTGACCCCACCGGATGGCGCTCTTGGTTTAAATATAAAGTCTGAAGGACTTGCAATGCAGTGTGCTTTCAAACCTTTGTTGAGCAGACACCTCCATCTAGTGGCGTCAGAAAATAAAGACAGTGGTTCAAGAGGGCTCATTTGGCCATCACTGTGTTTTGGAAATATGTAGAATATTCTATAATGTGATTAAAGGTTTTAGTATGACCTTGGCTTGATTTTCACTGTTCTCTATGAATCAATCAAAGGCTTTGAAGAACCTGAACATGGTAAAGTATAGACTTTATGTTTGACACTGAGCAGTTAGATATACTAGAATAAGATGATCAGGTGATTTATTGACATTGTTTACTGGGGCGTTACTGTTTAATGCAAAACAATCATAGGAAAATCACGTCCTGTAGCCGCAGATGAATCTGTTTATTCAGAGGTCAAACCAGGAAAAGTTCTTGGTAATAATACAGCATCGACAGCAGCAACACAATGTGCATTTTTGGATAAGTCACTATAGTGATTTATTTTAAAGATACAGATAGTTAAATGGGTTAGAAATGGGAGTTAAATGTCATTGAGCACTCTTAATTCTTAAATAACCCTAACCTTGTTTTTCCTTTTGGTTTTCATCCAGATCAATAGAGAGATCTGCATCAACAAAACCAGTAGAGTGGATGACAACATGAATAACTACATCAGTGTTTAAACAGTATTTGCTATTTTTATTTAATTATTGTGTGCAGCTCCACTATACAAATATCAGACATTATTCTGTACAGTTAAACTAATGGCAGGTCATTTAAAGAAAATGATTATGTGGGTCTTAAGCTTCTGTATTGTTAAAAGTATGGTTGACCATTTCTTGTATCAATAAACTTTTGTTCCACTAGTTTGTTTTCAGCAGTGTTTTTAGTTGTTCTTGCATGATTTCCTGTACATAAGCAGTTTATTTATTCTTCTATCTTCTCTCTGATTGTAGTGATCCAGTAAAATCAAGCTTTTGTTAGACGTATGTTTCTTTGATAGAAATCTTAAAACTTGCACATTTTTATGCAGGTGACATGCTTTTATGTGTCAGCGGCTCTTCTATTAATCAGGCCATGGAAAATCTACACACTGCTTTTGATACATTTCAGATCTCTCTCATCAAACATGAGTTCTTTTAAAATCTGGTAAATTTAAAACAAGTTTATGCTGTTCTCTAGGTCACAGGTTTCCAACCTGGGAGTCCTGACACCCACTAAGGGTCACCAAAGCTTCACAGTGGGTTGAGCTAAATTATGACCATATGTGACCTAAGGTGTTGACACAGATGTTTTTTCTGATGAAATCTTGCCACCAACACTTTTGAGCAACATTATTACATTGTGTTCCATTTTGATCTTACTGACTGCTTGTATTGTTTTTGACATAACATGTCAGTTTAGGTTAATTTTGCTTACGATAGCACGACACCCATGACCTGGTAACTAACAGGTTACTCTTTAAGGGGAAAAAAAAACTCAATGTGAAATACAGGAGGCCTTTCCTTTTAGTCTGGTGCTTCATTGACTCATTGAAGTTTAGCACCTCATTTTAAAATGCTATCCATTTAGAGGTGGTGAAATTTGTAATATTTTGTGATATAATGCTGCCTTTTCTTTTCTTTTGGCTTTGCTTAGAGACAGCTGGCTATCCATGTTAACATGCAGAAACATAGTGCCCACTTCCCATCTTTGTCTCCACTGGTTAGCTAACGTTAGCCTTATAGATGCATGGTTTGTTTTGGGTTGCCAACTTTGGGTACTTATTGATTATCCATTATTGCTGTCTGTGTACAAACAGAATACACCACTATGATAGATATTATACAATGCAAAATGTCCAGCAATTATTTCTAATAACTACTCATCCTAGTTTTGTCGCAGGGACCATTTGATGTTATCCATGCTGTCTTTATATCATCATGCCATCTGTGGCTGGGCACAAGTGTAAACAAGTCAAAGTATATGATCAAACCCAGTGTAGTGGTGTGAGTTTTATGTAGTGGAGAAAAAAGGAAGCTACGATGGATGACTAAAAGCCTCTGATCTTGTATTCAGATGTTATTTAACTTCTTTTCCCCCACACCTCTCCATTTCAGAAGCAGAGTGCAGAGTTTAAATGCTGGATGTGAGGGTGGGGCTCGCTTTGTTCTGTGTGCTGTTGTTATTCTGTACAGATTAAGGAGAATGTAGTGAGGAGGACAGATTATCAGATGTTTGTTCAGCTCTCGATTTTGAAATGCCTTAGGTTATAATCTGATAGAGGAGCCCATGTAATTAAATGAGCAATATTGTGTGCAATGTACTTATAGCCTACTCGTTAAAATCCGCTGTGTGGTCAGTGGCCCTACACATCGAAATATGATGCTCTAGATACTTCTCCAGTGTCAGGTTAGGATACTCAGGGACAGTGTGTCAATTCACTCTCATTGCGTGCAGGATCTTTTCAAAATAAGTGTCTGTTTTCACAGGAAATGTACAGTTTTCACTTGATTCATACACACAGACTTTTTTGAAAATAAACTTCCAATATAGGTTTACTTAGTTTTAGGTTTACTTCTTCAAGTTTAGGCAACAAAAGCACATGGTAATGTTCATAAAAAAACATCACGGTTTGGCTTAAAATAAGTACATTTGTTACTGACTTAACTTCACATGAGCATACTACAGGACTAAAGGTAGGATTTATGAGGGATATGTTGGCAGAAATGGAATACAATATATTAAGTACTGTATGTTTTCTGTTCTGTATAATGTCCTAAAAAAAGAATCCTTGTGTTTTACAGTCAATAAATAGATAAAAAAAAAAAAAACAAAGGAAGGGGTTTGTTTTTTAAATGATTTTATCTAATGTTTCCTGTCAGGTGTTTCAGCAGAGGACCCACCAACGATGCACTACAGGGAGAGAAACAGCTATTTATGTCTAAAAATCAGAAAACCACCACCACATAAAGACATCAAGTGGCGTTTNGTACCATCCACAACTTTTCACAGTGGAAACAGAAATAAAGCGTACTGAACTGAACTGAACTGTTCTGTGGAAACGGGGCGTAAATGTGCATGGCATGTGATCAGGGGTTTATAAAAGTGTATTTTTGTGTATGTGGTTTTCTACTTGTGCATTTATTTATGCATAAATGTATTTTTGTATACATGCTTAGATTATGTTTGCATGTTAGTGTCTATGCATGCAACATATTCTCATATAACTGTTCGTATGGTTCCTACGAATTAGCGCCCCACAAATGAGGTTGCGTCCTTAACGCACAGTTATGTAATTAACATAAAGTTACAGGGGTTAGGTTTAGGAAGAAAACATGGTATGGACGTACCCTAAAATGCCTTAAAGTTCACACGGTTCCAAACATGTGACACCAGGGGAAAATAACAGGCAAATGTCTGTTTTTTTGTGACCCCTCCACCACTCCAATCTGCCTCCTTACAAGCATGCTCGGGACTGCCTCCTTGTTAACCGCCGCCAGTCACGTTATTGCAGAATTTTCAAAAAATGGTGGGATATGAACGAATTTGAGTGCATTACTTTTCGTAGGAAAATGTACAAACAGTTTGTGAGAACAGTTTGATGTATGTTCTTATACATTTTTGGATGTTAGTCATTGTTTTCTTACTGTTGGAGTTTTATTACTTCGGCTTGACTGGACCTTGACTCTGTGTTTATGTAAAGCACTTTGGGAAATCTATTTGTGAAAAGTGTTAAATGAGTAAATATTTATATAGGTTATTTATTATAGCAGCGCCCAGGCTTGAAGGAAGCTCTCCATTTCCTGTGCTGTTGATTGTTGGGCCGGTTTGTGGAGTTTTACTGATTCTTCTCCTGCTGCTGTTTCTGTATGTCTACAGAAAGTCAAAAGGTGAGAACTTTTACTTCTGATGTTAGACTGACTCTGATGTGATTACATGTACTGTAGTAACAGTCGAACAATTCACCATACAAAACAATGTAACAACAGATGTCTTTTTTCTCCACAGATTCATGCTTTATGAGGTTGGTTCAACACTCTTGCCTCTCTTTCTGAACCTAACAGTAGCACAGTGCATATTCTTTTTAAAGTCACTGTATTTACTTCATGTTTGGGCCCACCAGGTCTCAGAGCAGCAGTCGGGGCCCTGCTACAGACCACATGATCAACCAGGATGAAACTCAGCTCAAAGAATATGCTCCTCCTCTCCATGGTCAGCCTTAATCCTGATTAATTTTATGATTTATCATCAACTCTAAGACTAGTATTTCACATGTGATTATCTGTTTTGGTAGTGATGGCCAAATGAAGCCTCATGAACCAATTTCTTTATTTTCTGACCCCACCGGATGGCGCTCTTGGTTTAAATATAAAGTCTGAAGGACTTGCAATGCAGTGTGCTTTCAAACCTTTGTTGAGCAGACACCTCCATCTAGTGGCGTCAGAAAATAAAGACAGTGGTTCAAGAGGGCTCATTTGGCCATCACTGTGTTTTGGAAATATGTAGAATATTCTATAATGTGATTAAAGGTTTTAGTATGACCTTGGCTTGATTTTCACTGTTCTCTATGAATCAATCAAAGGCTTTGAAGAACCTGAACATGGTAAAGTATAGACTTTATGTTTGACACTGAGCAGTTAGATATACTAGAATAAGATGATCAGGTGATTTATTGACATTGTTTACTGGGGCGTTACTGTTTAATGCAAAACAATCATAGGAAAATCACGTCCTGTAGCCGCAGATGAATCTGTTTATTCAGAGGTCAAACCAGGAAAAGTTCTTGGTAATAATACAGCATCGACAGCAGCAACACAATGTGCATTTTTGGATAAGTCACTATAGTGATTTATTTTATAGATACAGATAGTTAAATGGGTTAGAAATGGGAGTTAAATGTCATTGAGCACTCTTAATTCTTAAATAACCCTAACCTTGTTTTTCCTTTTGGTTTTCATCCAGATCAATAGAGAGATCTGCATCGACAAAACCAGTAGAGTGGATGACAACATGAATAACTACATCAGTGTTTAAACAGTATTTGCTATTTTTATTTAATTATTGTGTGCAGCTCCACTATACAAATATCAGACATTATTCTGTACAGTTAAACTAATGGCAGGTCATTTAAAGAAAATGATTATGTGGGTCTTAAGCTTCTGTATTGTTAAAAGTATGGTTGACCATTTCTTGTATCAATAAACTTTTGTTCCACTAGTTTGTTTTCAGCAGTGTTTTTAGTTGTTCTTGCATGATTTCCTGTACATAAGCAGTTTATTTATTCTTCTATCTTCTCTCTGATTGTAGTGATCCAGTAAAATCAAGCTTTTGTTAGACGTATGTTTCTTTGATAGAAATCTTAAAACTTGCACATTTTTATGCAGGTGACATGCTTTTATGTGTCAGCGGCTCTTCTCTTAATCAGGCCATGGAAAATCTACACACTGCTTTTGATACATTTCAGATCTCTCTCATCAAACATGAGTTCTTTTAAAATCTGGTAAATTTAAAACAAGTTTATGCTGTTCTCTAGGTCACAGGTTTCTAACCTGGGAGTCCTGACACCCACTAAGGGTCACCAAAGCTTCACAGTGGGTTGAGCTAAATTATGACCATATGTGACCTAAGGTGTTGACACAGATGTTTTTTCTGATGAAATCTTGCCACCAACACTTTTGAGCAACATTATTACATTGTGTTCCATTTTGATCTTACTGACTGCTTGTATTGTTTTTGACATAACATGTCAGTTTAGGTTAATTTTGCTTACGATAGCACGACACCCATGACCTGGTAACTAACAGGTTACTCTTTAAGGGGAAAAAAAAACTCAATGTGAAATACAGGAGGCCTTTCCTTTTAGTCTGGTGCTTCATTGACTCATTGAAGTTTAGCACCTCATTTTAAAATGCTATCCATTTAGAGGTGGTGAAATTTGTAATATTTTGTGATATAATGCTGCCTTTTCTTTTCTTTTGGCTTTGCTTAGAGACAGCTGGCTATCCATGTTAACATGCAGAAACATAGTGCCCACTTCCCATCTTTGTCTCCACTGGTTAGCTAACGTTAGCCTTATAGATGCATGGTTTGTTTTGGGTTGCCAACTTTGGGTACTTATTGATTATCCATTATTGCTGTCTGTGTACAAACAGAATACACCACTATGATAGATATTATACAATGCAAAATGTCCAGCAATTATTTCTAATAACTACTCATCCTAGTTTTGTCGCAGGGACCATTTGATGTTATCCATGCTGTCTTTATATCATCATGCCATCTGTGGCTGGGCACAAGTGTAAACAAGTCAAAGTATATGATCAAACCCAGTGTAGTGGTGTGAGTTTTATGTAGTGGAGAAAAAAGGAAGCTACGATGGATGACTAAAAGCCTCTGATCTTGTATTCAGATGTTATTTAACTTCTTTTCCCCCACACCTCTCCATTTCAGAAGCAGAGTGCAGAGTTTAAATGCTGGATGTGAGGGTGGGGCTCGCTTTGTTCTGTGTGCTGTTGTTATTCTGTACAGATTAAGGAGAATGTAGTGAGGAGGACAGATTATCAGATGTTTGTTCAGCTCTCGATTTTGAAATGCCTTAGGTTATAATCTGATAGAGGAGCCCATGTAATTAAATGAGCAATATTGTGTGCAATGTACTTATAGCCTACTCGTTAAAATCCGCTGTGTGGTCAGTGGCCCTACACATCGAAATATGATGCTCTAGATACTTCTCCAGTGTCAGGTTAGGATACTCAGGGACAGTGTGTCAATTCACTCTCATTGCGTGCAGGATCTTTTCAAAATAAGTGTCTGTTTTCACAGGAAATGTACAGTTTTCACTTGATTCATACACACAGACTTTTTTGAAAATAAACTTCCAATATAGGTTTACTTAGTTTTAGGTTTACTTCTTCAAGTTTAGGCAACAAAAGCACATGGTAATGTTCATAAAAAAACATCACGGTTTGGCTTAAAATAAGTACATTTGTTACTGACTTAACTTCACATGAGCATACTACAGGACTAAAGGTAGGATTTATGAGGGATATGTTGGCAGAAATGGAATACAATATATTAAGTACTGTATGTTTTCTGTTCTGTATAATGTCCTAAAAAAAGAATCCTTGTGTTTTACAGTCAATAAATAGATAAAAAAAAAAAAAA